TGTAATTATATTATTTCAAATTACAATATTTATATTTTCAGAAACACTTTTTGTCTGTCTAAACAGATCTCACGTGTAAATGAGTCTTCTAGGCTCAATGTGACTTTTCTGTCTAAATAAATGTTGAATGAATGAAAAAAAAAAAAAAAAGAATCTTTGTGTCTAAGTAAAAATAATAAAAATTTACTGATTAAACAAAACAGCCAAAATTTAGCTGAGAGTGACATTACTTAAATTTTGTTATCGCTCTTGTCAAAATTGCCCACCAGAGTTTGAATGTAGCGTTTTGGGCTGATTTGAGAAGAAGGATTTCCCGACGCTGCAGATCAGAACAAAAACCATCTGACAGGAGGTTTTGTCTTCACCCGGCTGTTGGACCGCAGCTCAGCTTTTATTTCTGCTTCCGAGGCCTTCTGTCGAATCGAATCCCCACAAACACACAGACAACACAGTTTAACTGGATGAACACAACTTGATATTTTGGATGATGTTTGCATCATGCGATTGCTTTAATGGTCTGTTAAGAGAAGCCACCACAGCTAATGGACTTTAGCAAACAACAACAAAATATCTGTAACTCAGTTACTTTAGCAGATAATGAGCTAAAATTCGAGGTGACAGTAGCTGAAAGTCACCCGCTACCCCATACTGTATAAAATATGTTGATATTACATATAAATAACAATTCTGCAGCTGCTGCCCAAAATTCCTATACATTTTGTAACAATCTAAGAAACAGTGCAAACATTTTGAAAAGAACCAAAAGCTACATTATATAAAACCTTAACTGCGGTTGTGTAAAAACTGTAAAATACATTAAAACACCAGTTCAGACGTGTAAAGTTCAAAGGTCTGTGACCCGTTTAGCCTCTGAATGATGTTCCTACATGGCTCCAGAGTCTGAGTTGTCTCATGTTTCACCAAAACCCCATTGACCTCCATTGTTTTTGTGCACATCATCTTTTTTTATTCGTTTTATTTTAGAGCTGTGCAACAAACAAAAAAAAAAAAAAAAGATGAATGTTTACTATAGACACAAAGGCTTAATGAGTTTGATTGGACTGGTTTGCTTTGTAAATTTAAGTCCATGCTGATTTTTGCTGCAATTTTATAAAGAAGAAGAAAAATAATCAAATGGTTTATTTTAAACATTTTTTCTTAAACACTCTCCCAGTGTTGATCTCAAACTGCTCTCTGCTGTGAGTGAAAACATGAAATTCAGCTTCACCATGTCTGCTTGGTCAGGATTTTTTTTTTTTTTTTTTAAATATGCAGCTCTTTACAGTTTGAGTTCAACTCCTGACGTCACCCAGAACAAATATATATATTTGGGGTTCTGATTGTGCATTCATCCAACAGAAGAGCAGAGTGTTTGTGTCTGCAAGAAGCCAAACTGTGTGTAAAAGAGAGAAAGGGGTGTTTTTTGCAGAGCTCACCACTATTGGATTAGTGCGCGCGCGCGTTTTTTTTCATCCAGTTCATCGTGCCGCACCCTGTCTTGTGCGTAAAAGCAGCTCCCACCCAGCAGCGGCTCCAGCTCCCGGAAGGTTCGGGCCCAGAGATGGGAGAGGAGAGGCAGCAGCTCGGGTTGTGACACGGACACACCGGCCGGGAAGGATGGCTCTCAGCAGCCGGGGAATGTTGCGCGTGCTCGGATCCGCCTGCCTCTGGCTGCCGCTGCTGGCGGAGGTACGTGTCCGTTTCTGAGCAGGTGGATTAAAAAAAAATGTTTTCCTCTCTATGTGACCTGTTTTGATTTCATTTTTCTTGTGCCATGTCCCGAGACGGTCATGCTCTAATAACCTGCCCCTCTTGTGAATTAAATTAGGTTAATAATTAAAGGGATATTCCAACTGTTTATGTTTGATGTCAGAAACAAAGCAGGTGCAGGGTCGGGGCGTGCACAAGCACCAGATCCGCATTTTAACCAATTACTGCTGCTGGCACTCAATTAAACAGGCTCTATTGATTCTCACGTGCGCGCACAGCCGTGCACGGTGCCGAGCACAACAACCTGCACACCGCCTCCTCTTTCTCCTTCACTGGGGAGGGGGATCTCATTGGAGAAGCTGGTCGGTGGCTCCTCTGCACCCGCGGTGTCGTGCACACGAACCCCGCGCGCCCGCTTGAAGCTTGTCACAACAGTTTAGTCACATGTAGACAAACTGAGACCGAAACCTGCAGGGATCAGGTGCTGCTGTCAGGTGTTTGAGGTCAGATGGACTTCCCCTTGGAAGTAGGGGGGATGAGGGTGCTGCAGCACCTTCTGAAGAATAAAAAAAAAATCTGCAACTTTGATTCTGATATGGTAAAAATCTCTCAGTGGTTGAATCAGAAGGTTTAAAAAAAGAAATGCTAATTATTAATATTTACTTTATAAGTGTCAGATTTGTGAATCCATTCACTGGCTGCTATTTACTGAAGCTTGGACTATGAGAGGAAGATCTTTCAGTTTTCTGGCTCCTCTCTCGTGGAACCAACTTCCAGTTTCTTTCCATGAGGCTGACACATTGTCCAGTTTTAAAACTGGGCTTAAGACTTTCCTTTTTGATAAATCCTATGGGGCTTGGCTTGTTATGTTAGGTTTAGGCTGGAGGACAGATTGACCTCATTTCTTAAAATTAATTTGTTCAATTTAATAGTTTTTTTTATTTGATGCATCTTGACCTGCCATTGTGTATCTGTTCCTCTCAAACCCAGCTGGTTGAAGCTGATGGCGGCTTGTTCTGAGCCTGGTTCTGCTGGAGGTTTCTTCCTCCATGAGGGAGTTTTTCCTCTCCACTGTCGCCTTTAAGCTTGCTCAAGATGAGAGCTCTGTGACGAAGTGAAACTCAAAGCAGTCTGCTCCTCAGATAAATAACGTTAACTTATTTTTTTAAGTATATGAATTCATCAGTGCCCTGAGATGACTTCCGTTATTTGGTGTTAATTTATATAAATAAACTGATTTTAAATTGAACTGAATCGGATCAAATGAGCTCAGAACAATCAGCGTCACAGCTGTATGTCTTGGAACATTGAAACAGATGTTCAGTTTTGCCGTCTGATCAAGTTTAACTGTTGAGCCATTTCAAAAACATTTTGATGTTAACGCACAGCAGGATTTGAAGGGGCCTCCCCGATTCCTCGTTTTCACCTGCAGATGGTAGAAAAAGACCAAATGAGATGAAAACGTTCAGGAAGTGTCACAAAAACAAGCTCAGACGGAAATAAATGAATAAAACATGAGTCAAACGAGCGACTGATGCATTCGTCACTAAACGGTTTGATTGTGGCTTGTACTTGAAATGAGCATTGTGGATCATACATTAAAGACACGTGCAGTGGAAATATTATTGTTAAATTATAATGGCAGTATGAGTTGCATCCTTTCTGTCATGCACAACACTCGTAGCATCTTTAGCACCTCGGCCACTATCATTTAATGAATCTTCTCTTTCGGCTACTCCCTTTCTCAGCGGTCACCACAGCTAACGAAGGATTTGGTCATTGTTTATATGCCGGATTCCCTTCCTGATGCAACCACCGAGCTACCGCAGCTTGCGTGCGTGGAGCAGAGGGCTGCCATCTAGGGTGCCCGGGGGGAGCAGATGGTGGGGGGTTAATGGCCTTGCTGAAGGGCCGACAGTGGGGCAAATCAGGATGGAGACGGGCGTGGGTGCGTCACCATTTCCACCCATATATTGTTGTAACGGTTAGGGAATTTATTGCACTCATTCCAATGGTGATATTGCCCAAATTGCGATATTGTTGATGCAATGACGATGGATTTTCAATATACTGTGCGATCGTTGAGCGTAGATTTCTTCATTAAACCGGATTTGATTCGATTGCTAAATAAAGAGAAGAGAATCAGGATTTCTTTATGTTCCCATTTACTACGTTTCCCACAATGCCTGTGCTCTTCTCCACTTAAAGACAACATAACAAACTAAGATCATTTCATCTGCCAAGTATTTTTTGTTAAGGGGTTTTCTTTTTGTCGAGTTAAACCAAGAATTAATGACCTTACCACAAAAAGAAGGAGATACAATCCGTGTCGCTCCAGAAATAACCTTTTAAGTGAGTTTTGTTTGTAAGCATCACTCAGAAGTGTCGTCCTCCTCTGAGCTGAAATGGATCTGCTCGTAGCTTGTTTATTCCTGTGCGCGTGTGTGTTTGCGTGGCCGTGCAGTGGCCGCAGCTGTGAGAGCGTCCTGACAGATTACCACCGTAATCGAGCCGTGCGATTGACAAGGATGGAAATATCAGGGTCCATGTTCACTCCAACAGGTCACCTGTTCCTGCGTTAGCACCATTAGACTGAGCCACTTCCTCTGGGAGATGCTGGTTGTTTTTTATGCATCTGCAGAACCAAAGCCTGAAAACTTTATATATTCACATTTACATCTGGAACCACGATTCTAGTTTGATATGCATTTATTTTCATTAAAACGTTGGTTCTCTGATTGAAATTTGTAAACTTTATTTTCATTATATTGTTTTCTGGTTAAGCAATCCATGCGTTAGTTAAATGTATACACATTTTATTAATCTTCTTATTCTCTTAAAGCTTAAAAATAACCATTTTGCAATACCTTTATCTGCCTTTAGTGTTTCCACTCTACAAAATGTACAATATTTAAATATTGTGTTTTAGTACCTAGTTGATGCAGCTCAGTGAGTAGAGGAGTAGTAACTGTTTAGGGTGGCTTGTGAGGTGGCCAAGCTGACGGGGGCATGGCCCCCTCACAGGCTACACTTAGCTCTGCCCCTGCAGGTATTTCTGAGTGCTGTGTTTAGTTTCTGGACCGCAGCAGAAATCACCTGCATGAAGGTGAAATGCAGCTGTTGTATTGCACATAGTGTGTGTGTTGCGCTGACCTGATTTTAAAGAACGGCTATACATCAATGTCAAATAACATCTAATGAGGCACAGTAGGCGTGTTCTTACCTGCATTGCTTGTTTCTCCTCAGAGTGTTGATGCTGAAACTATAACTCATTCATGAATCCGTCACAAACTTCAACATAAAAAACCTTCAGAAACGGCCTCACACGACAGATTGTTCTTTATTCCCTGGATGTGAACGTTGATAAAATCGTATTAGGATACCTTTTAATGAAAACCGTTTTATTTGAAAGCTTTCAGACAGCTGGCTGTCATTAATAGGACTTGTATACGGTGTCAAAGGTGGAGCTGCTCGAGTTGAACTAAATTAAAGTAAAATGTTTGTTGCTCTCATATCATCATATTGACAAGCCGAAGCTTTCTGAGTGGTTGAATTTATTCTTCTTTATGGTTTGAAACCAGTTTCATGAGAGAAATATATTATCAGCATGAACAACTTTTAAATTTATTTTCCAGCTTTTATGTTGGAGATTTGCATTTAGACTTAATTGCTTGATTGAATTCCATCTGAGACTGTTTTGAATTTCAAATCATCTTTTCTGAAGGGTTCACACTTTAAAAAAAAAAGAAAAAAGGAAAAATCATATTTATTGCAATGTTTGAGAGTTTTTGAATACTCCTATTTGAAACAGTTCAGAGAGAATTGAACACGTTGGGAATTTTTGTGTTAGAAAAAGAAAAATTATACAAAATGGTGTCAAATATATAAAAGGTATGAGTTTATAAGTGAATGTGAAGCACTTCACAGAACCTGGTAAAGGCATTATAATTGTCCAAGATATGCAAATATTAATACAAGTCATTCTGATTACCAGGATTTATTAAATATCTGATCTTTGTCATTCAAAATATTTGTACACTTTGTGAATAAATAATGACAACTGTATGTAAAGTTAATACAGGTTGCTTATTGTGAGTAGTGTGCACCACGTCACGTTTCCTGTATGATTACTTTCTTCGTCTTTTTTTTTAATATAGAGGTTTTCATTATTTCTTTTAACAAAATGTCATTAAATCTCACTCACAAGATCTATTCCACTAATAAACGAGTAAACTGATCAAGAAATATTTACTGAAATTGTTCAGATGAAGTTTATCTAAAGTCCTGTATGTTCTGCCTGCAGGTTGTGGCTCAGGACAGTTACCTAAACGAGGTGCAGAACTCAGGTAGGTGGAAGGTCATGCATCCATTTTCTTTTCTTGCATTATTCATTTTTATGTTTTCCCTTTTTATTTATTGTTTCTTCACATTTAGACTCAGTCACCAAGCTCGTCTGCTGCTCATATACTCCTCTCGGCCTGCACTCCTCTGCCTCTCATTTTCATTTTTCTCCCCTTTATGTGCATCCCTGAGAGGAATGGAGGCCATGATGATGATAAAGATGATGATGGGGGTGGGGAGAGGAGTCCCTCCTCCTCAGGCTGAAATATGCAATTTTACAGCTGCACACGTTGGCAAACGAGTGAAATTTAATCAGAGCGCAAAAAGAAAGACCTAAATGGGTTAAATACAGACTATAGTTGTTTAAAAATAATAAAATCAGGTTAAAAGCACATTCAAGCAGTTTAATAACATGTTTGTGTTTTGCGACGATGCCGGCGCCACAGACACCCCGAGTGTTCGACTGAGAACCGTGTCAAACGCTCATTGTGGCACGAAAACGGATTATAGCATCAGGGAGGCTGAGCGTTCCCATGGCGATGGGCAGAGTACGGTCGTCGTGGCGCTGAGGAGGGTGTGAGCGCTGCGGGTGTCTAGATGAATTAAAGAGCCCGAATGAGGCAATGAGGAGGGAGGAAGTCAAATTCAGACAATTCAGGAATGTAAAGATACCCAGGAGGAGCAATGATGCAATATCGAGTCCAAAACACACATTTAATAGTTTATTAAAACTTAGGTTTAATATAATGCACAGCTTTGCATTTCTAGAATGAAAAGAACACAAAAATAATAAATATGCATAATATGGTATATAGTAAATGTTGCATATTGATGCAAATTAAAAATAAAAAGGGCTCTGAACTGCCTCAAATTGACTTTATACTAATTTTCATCGTGTAGATTGTTGGTGTTAAAATGCTTCCAATGTGAATAAAACAGCATTACGTTTTTTTAGACAAATTAATCAGATCAGATGAACTCCACCATAATTTTCAACCAACAGACTTAAAATTTTATTAAAATTTAAATATTACTACTCGATAGATTCTTCTGTCTATGCTATGCCTCCATTTAATTACCCATGCGTTTGTATGGCAAGTTATCTTGGTTGCATTGTTTTTATTAATTTTTTTTTTTTATTTGAACAAACTTGGCTTCATATATCAGCCGATGAACTGTGATTGTCCGACTTCTCAGCTGTTTTTTTTTTATTGAAATTTATATAATCTATAGTGTCCCTCCTGATTTCTTCACATTTTTTCACATTTGTGATCAGAAAACCGTAAAATAAAACCTTAATAAATTATCATCACAGCACAGTGATTGCTGGACATGAGCACCGGCGACCCTCTTGACTCAAAATGGAAGAAGCGGGTAAAAGATAATGAATGGATGGATAAATTATCCAATAAAGTTCAGTCAGGTCATCTGGACGGTTGTTTTTTATTTTGTTGAGACGTTTCATCTTTCATCTAAAGGACTTAATCAACGTCCTTTCCCACCGAGTTGACGGGGGAGAGGGCGGGCCCCATGAAACCATCTTGGCACCAACAAACTGGTTGGTCTACTGTGCAAGTGTGCAGCTTGTGGGACTGAGTTTGTTGTGGCTCCTCGGACTGATGAAGTCCTTTTGGATGAAGGATGAAACCTCTCAACACAAGAAAAAAAGAAACCGTCAAGATGACCTGACTGAACTTGGCTGGATTTTTGTACCTGGATTACTGATTATGAACTTTAATGCTCACTCTGTACAAACGGGCATGATGACCATCGGAGCCAGGTTTGAACCGTACTCGTTGTCGCAGGGATTGAAGTACGGATAGAGCTCCTCCATAAAGAAACATTCGGTAAAGGTGTGAATAGGCGTGGCTCTGACTACGTCGAAGAATGATATTTCACCTCCGTCATAATCGACAAACACCCCGACTCTCTCCACCTTCCCAACGTGCACGGACACACCGGGAGAACTGAAGGTTTCAAACTTGTCCAACAGGAACCAGATGGCCCAGAGTCCAGGGTTGGAGTTCCGAACGATCTCCCCGACTCTCTGGATCGACGCCGTGGCCACGCCCAGACACCACTCTGTCTTCTGACCGACGTAAACCTCGAAATAAAACCTACCGGATGAAAAGCCTCTCCGCCCCAGAACTGCGAGGTGCACCGTGAACATGTTGGGACTCAGAACCTGGTTCCCCCACAGACCCGTGCCCGTGTTGTACCTCACTTGTTTCCCGTCGGCGGACAGACTGAGCAGAGGGTGAGCCGTGTCGGTGTCGAGCACGACGTTCACCTCGTACTGCTGCATGTACACGAGCGTGGCGTCGTTAGACGCGTTTTCTGCGCCGCCGGAGCACTTGCTTATTTCTTCGTTTATTTGAAGCAGCAACGCCCGCAGCTGAGAGATGGAGCTCTGGAAATATCTGTGCATGTGCTGGATCTCCAGGTGCCGGGTGAAGCTGAACGTGGACAGGTCCATGGTGTGCGGCAGTGAGGACTGGTTTGGGTAGGAGCTGAGAAAACTGAGTGGATCTTTAGTTTGTTTTAGTTTCTCCATGTTCTTCGCCGTCGCCTTCAGGTCACAAAGCTCGCTCTCCATGGCGCAAATGAACGCCTCGGCTTGCTCCTCCCCTGATTTCTGCTTCTCCTCCACCGCCCTGATGAGCTCCGCCTGGATCTTCTTAATCTCCGAGCCCAGCTCTGTTAAGTCCCGAGTGCTGTGTGCCACCACCTCCTTTGTCTTCACCTCACTTTGCTTCACCAGCGTCCTCGTGTTTTGGACCTTCTGCAATCGTTCTTGAATCATCCTCTGCACTTTGGCCTCCGATTTCCCCAGCAGGGCCGTCTTCTCAGCGTACCCCCGCTGCACGGGAACCACGTCGTGGTTGGCATGTGCTCCGTCGACGCAGAAGTCGCACAGAACCGAGTTGTCGTTTCTGCAGAACAGCCTCAGCAGCCTGCGGTGCTTCCTGCAGACCTTATTCACCAAGTTCTCCACAGGGTCCACCAGCATGTGCCTCTTGAGTCCAGAGGCGACGTAATGCGGCTCCAAGTGTCCATCGCAGTATGACGTGAGACACTCCAGACAGGATTTGACTGCAACGGTCTGGGTGGCGGTGCAGACGTCACAGCGCACATCGCTGTCAACCTGCTGTCGAGGCGCACTCTGGATGGGGATGTTCGTCACGCGGAGCGATCTGACGTGCGACACCAGCTCTGAAATGAATGTATTGACCTTAAGATTGGGTCTCTTTGAGAAATCTTCCTTGCAGATCGGGCACTGCCAGACCGGCGTGTTGTCCCAGTAGGACGTGATGCAGGACATGCAGAAGTTGTGTCCACACGGAGTGGAAACCGGTTTAACGAAGACGTCAAGACAGATGGGACAAAGAAACTGGTCCTCGCACAAACTGCTGCTGGATGCCATTTCTAAAAACACAGAAAAATAAAAAAAAAATAATTTTTTAATTAAAGACCATTTTGGGGACAATTACGATAATTTTGTTGCTGAAATAAGCAGATCCTAAAGACCTTTTGGTGTTTAAATGCTTTTTCAGAGCAGATTAGTAGATTTAGTAGAAAACTAACACGACATTAAAGGCATTGTTTAAATAATTTAACATTCAGATGTGTGGTTTTTACCAAACGATTGCAAGTTTTCATGTTTGAAGGAAAGTTATAGGTTGGAGTTTTAGTGCACAAATTATTTACCGTACTTTTCGTTGTAAAAGTTGCATGTTTTTGCATAAATTTGCATGCCCTGCGATTTATACGGTAAAGCGACTTATTTTCGTTTTTCCCTCCTTATTTATAACTCAATTTTTGGCTGAGAGTTAACAATTTCATTCATTCTGACATGGAACATTTTAGCCACAAGAGGGCCCTCGACTAATATGGCAAGCTAAGTGTCTCATTAATAGGGAAAAGTGGATATTAATGAGACACTTAGCTTGCCATACAAGCCACCTTCGTCTCTCTCTCCAGAACTCCTGAAGCAAACGTCAAATCTTCTGCATGTCGCCGCGTCGCCCAGATGAAATGCAGCTGATTTGACCGTTAAAGTTCATTTATTAAGGAAAAGTTAAACTGCTATAATTTTGAGCAAACAAATAATTGTTTTTAAGTTGTTTTTGATCTTAAATTCTTGTTAAAATCCTCCCGTGCACGCTCCTGCAGCCACCATTTGGCAGCCAATCGATTTTTGGCACAACACTGTTCCACATTTCCGGGTGGTCAGTGGTGACGCATAATAGATGCGACTTACACGACGAAGTGATGCATTTGTTTTTTCCACTTTATTAGACATATTTGGAGTAATGCGACTTATACGGTGGTGCAACGTTTACAGCGGCAAGTACGGTAATTTAGTTAAAAAAAGAAACAAGCAAAAGAACAAATATTAAAAGTTTGTGTCTCTGCTCACTTGAGCTCTTAAGTTTTACAGTTTGAGCTGCTGGGTGTGTGCAAAAATATATTACCTTTTTTAATTAATTAAATGAGCACCTCATGTGAACTGACACTGGTTTCATTATTGTGCTCTGGCCACCACAGCTAATCGACATTATCAACACAAAAATGGCTTTAAATCAGTCAGTTGTACAGATACTGACCTGAAACCTTGTGTGGTAGTAGCTGAGAGTCATTACTTACCTTGACTTTAACATTGTGCAGTGTTGTATGAGTTTGTGCAGATGTCTCTATGATTTATCAATAATAAATGATTTTAGTCTGTCATGAAAGATGGCGGGCGATATGCGTTACTTCAAGGAATACTAGGGCTTTAATATTTTATGTTTTGTGGACTACAAACGGGCTAAATTTAACACATGGGAGCAAAATGTATTTTAATTTTTTCAGATTAAATGTTTGAAATTATACACGATGTAATGGCAAAATCACACACAAAGAAACAGTTTTATTGAGAGAGTAAGTTTTATGATCCAGTTTTGATTCTAAAGGGTTGCTCAAGATCCAGAATCATGCAACCTCTATTACGCAATAAGAGCTTCTTCTTAACTGAAAAACATTAACATGAAAAGAAAGACCTCATAAAATGTTCAGGCCCATACGATCCATGACGCAACTGAGGACTGTGTGAGTTTGTTTTTAGCTTTATTTCCACGTTTGCTCAAAGGTTATAGATCAAAATCTAACCCTTAAAACAGCAGCCACACACACACTGAGTTTCTTGTTTACACAACTGGATTGGTCTATTTGCTGCAGCATTTCTCATTATGGGGTGCAGGGGTTTCCTTACAAATGAGCAAACCACACACTTTAGTTGGTGTAGGACACATACAGGCACAGTTTTAAGTCTGGAAAGATTTACTTACTGTTCTGCTCTGGAACTGGTTTGCAGCAAACTGGGTGTTTTCCAGGCAGGAAGCCGGAATACTTTCAGTTTCTTCCTGTGGCCTCTTAAAGGGACAGACAGGATTCTTCATGTGTGGTCAGGAGCTTCATATGAAGGTTTTTTTTTTTTTTTGTTCTTACTTTGAATTCACTGTTTCTTCTTTTATTTCAGTGCATTTCTCACACTCTTGTGCCCACACTTGTTCCCCTTAGAGTGTTATTCGCTTGTGTGTTTGGCTGTGTGTGTTTTCGTGTGTTCGCTGGGCATTTAGGTCTTGCAGTGAGGAGATAACGTTGCTGGATGGCCAAGCTGTGTGCGTTTTCGAGATAAGGCCGTTCCTCCAGAGCTGGGACAACCTCTGCCATTAATCATAGTTAGGAGCTGAAAATCCTCCAAAGGCTTCAAGGTGGAACAACGACCAAAGTTCTTCAAGTAAAACAAACTCCAGTGCGAGTTAAATAAAATAAAATAAAAAAAGCTGTATGCATCTTTTTTTTTTTTTTTTTTGGAGGTTTGACAAAGTTCATGGTCTTTTTAGTTTAATGAATAAAGTTCATAGAAGTGCAATAAATGGAAGGAGAGCTTGTAAACAAATAAAAGTTAAAAACTGAAAATAAATCTTCAAATCACGCAAATGAGACATTTATTATCTGCTTTGTATGGTTATAAAAATAAATATATAAATCATGACATTTCTGTGAGACTTGAAGCTTGAGACTTGTCTTTACGAATTTAAAATGTGTGAAAATACTTTTTTTGTTTTAAACAGTTCACCTAAACTGCAATGAAAGTATTGGATATCTTTTGTTTTTATGGCATCAGCTATTCATGCTAACTAGCCATTAGCTCATCAATCAGGTCAGAAATTACCCCCCCCCCCCCCCCCCGCCGCCCTCCAAACCAAGATTATTCAAAAAGATGCAGTACAAATATCTACAACAGGTAAGATGATTAATCCATCTACATAACCCCACTTCAGAAGATTTGAACTTTTACTTTAGTAATTCCTATTAAGTTAAATATTCCTATTTAAGTTATCTTAAATTACAGATACACGTCAGTCGTACATACAGAACACACTCCGTCTCCACAACTGAACGCAAATCACTGACTTTTTCATAGTTTTATGTCCTGTCATATTTCATATTTAAAATGTTTTGAAGAATAACTTGAAAAATATAGACTTTAATCAATAACAGTTGTTTGAATCAAAAGCAGAACAACTGACAGAGTTCGTATGGAGGTGGTTTCTGATTTTCCAGAAACCAAATGATCACTTGCATTTATGTTTTAATGTTTTTATGTTTTATATTTAATGATATTTACATTTTTGGAAGAGTTCTGTCATTTATTTGGGATAAAAACGTCTAAAATATGAGAATAAATGTACCGTATTTGCCGGTGTATAAGTCGCAACTTTTTTGCATAAATTTGCAAGTTCTGCGACTTATTCACCAAAGCGACTAATATACCCCCCCCCCCATTTATAACCCAATTTTTGTCTGAGATTTGGCAATTTCATTCATACTGACATAAAAATATTAAACATTATCATTTTCAGCCACTAGAGGGCCCTAGACTAATATGGCAAGCCAAGTGTCTCATTAGTAGGTAAAAGTGGCTATGCTATTAATGAGACACTTGGCTTGCCATATAAAGCCACCTTCAACTCGCTCCAGAACTCGTGGAGCAAACGTCAAATCAGCTGCATTTCACCGCGCCGCTCAGGTGAAATGCAGCTGATTTGACCGTTAAAGTTCATTTATTAAAGAATAGTTTTACTGAGACACACATTTTAACCTTCTAAAATGTACCATAAATGTTCTTCACTGCAGCAGCTGCGGTAGCTCGGTGGTCAGGCTGCTGGTTCGAGACCCGGTTGCGTCAGGTTCGTCAAACATTTGACAAATCTGTTGTGCGAGTTCGCTCACTGTGGAGATCGCTGCAGAAGCCAGAAGAAAATCAACCATAAAAACATGCAGGAATTTAGACAAACTGAACTTCGTTATAACAATTTCAACAACTGAGGTTTTCATGAAAATGAGTCTGGAAAATAAGACGCTTATAAAACGAGGAGTAAAAGAGCACTGACTGTCTGCCACTGATGTAATGGGTCATAATTTAAAACTAGAAAAACTGCAAATGCTTGAACGACTTGGACGAAATTTGACCAAATAAATCGTTAACCTATCTAAGAATTAAATCAAATAAAATCAAAGGCAAAAATAATCGCAGCTGACGCTTAAGTTAGCAAAACTCTTGTTGTATGGCAGAAAGAGCAAAACAGTAGCCGAAAGTTAAAAATAATAGAATCAAAGCTAAAAGCAAAAACTAGCAAGCTAAGAACTAAAACTAACTAAAGCTTATCCAAAAGGTAAAATTAATCAAACAGTAGTTAAATGGAGCCAAACTGTAGCTTATAGCTAAAACTAGCAAGACGGCTAAAAGGAGCATAATAAATCAAAACTAGAGCGAAGTAGAATTTATAAAACAACTTTTAAAAATTAATTAAGGGGACCTTGTTGTATTTCTGTGGAAGAACATTTTTTGTAAAAAAAAAAAAAAAAAAACACTTTAAAATAAGGCTCCCCTTATAGATGGCTAATAAATAGTTTATATATACATTTTTAATTCCTCTATAAAGACTTTTGTAAATCATAACTGCTTATTATGCATTAATTAAGGGTAACGGAGACAAAACCGACCAGCTTCTTGTCAAATAGTGAACCAAATCTGTTATTTCATCTAGAGTCGTTATATTAAATATTTCAGACGAAGTTACTACCTTGAAAGCACAACAAGCATTTGTAAACCTATTTTTTTAGGATATAATATTAGTTGTAGATACTTTATAAAGCAGTGATAAAGTACAATATTATATCCTAAATAATTAGGTTTAAAAAAGCTTATTGTACTTAAATTTTAGTAACTTAGTCTGAAATGTTTAATATAACAACTCTAGATGAAATATCTAGGTGAACAGATTTGGCAAGAAACTGGTCAGTTTGTCTGTCACCCTTAATTAATGCATAATAAGCAGTTATTAATGATGGTAGTAATTATTTATAAAGTGATTATAGAGGAATTGATAATGCATTATGTTTATTAGCCATCTATAAGGGGAGCCTTATTTTAAAGTGGTACCAAAAAATTCAACAAAAAAACCCCATAAAATTACAAGCTGGAAGTCATAGCACATTATTTCTAACCGAACCAAACATTTGATGCATAATTAAGAGGAAAAAAGTTTGTTGAAGTTCTGTAGTCTGAATGTAAAACATAGAAAAGACCATATGAACACAAACATTCAATAAAAGTTTTAATGTAGGCGTTATTTTGTTTCTTAGCGTTGAAGCTAAAGGTCATTTTTCAAATGAGCAACTTTTATTCTGTTCCTGCAACGGTAAAAAAAACAAACAACTGGTGTTTTAAAAAATATAAAATATTGGACAAAGTATTCAACATAAGTGAACACACGGTTCAGATTCTCTGTTTGTAGTGAAGCTGTACTCTTTTCAAAGGTCCATTGAATGCAGCATCAGCTGAAGTTTAGCTGCAGGCTTCTCGGCTCGTTTCGTCCTTTTCTGAAAGGTTTTTATTATAAACACCACATTTTGTGGTTTAATTCGCTCTTCTTTCATGTCAGCAGTTTCCCAGCCTGTCTGAGCTTCTTGCTCACTTTCTTCGCTCTCAGAGAAGGTTCTGGTTGTCGGTCACCCCCGTGTTACATTAGGTCCGGCTTGATGTCCTCCTCAGCTTGGATCAGCCGGGGGGGAGACATCAGGCGGGGCAGAGAAGAAGAATCATTCATGTTGGTTTTTTCTGTTCAGACATGGAGATAATGGGATTTAAAGATGAGGTCCACCTTCCTCTGACCTAAACCAGCCTCATTTCATCCAGAACATCTTATCCTCTCCTCTTCCTCATCCCTCCTCTTCCTCTGTTCAGTGCCTCTGTCCTGCTCTGAGGGATTCACCGAGCTGGGGTATTACAACGGCACCGTGTCCCAGACCGACTCTGGTGCACCATGTCTGAAGTGGACCGAGTTTCCAGACTATGTCATGCAGTACCCGGGCCGGGGACTGGGGGACCACAGCTACTGCAGGAACCCGGACCGCGAGTCCAATCCATGGTGCTTCTTCAGACAGAACTCTGGAGCCATCGGCTGGGCTTACTGCGACTGCCACCAAGGCACGTCCACACCTCGTGTTTATGTCTCCGTGACATTTACTGCTAGTTTATTTTTTTTACATTTAATTTGTAGAGTTACAGCTGTTTGCTAATAAATGTGCCTGTGTGACAACTGGGACAAAGCTTTGACTTAGAAATATGTTTTTATTATTTTATGGAAAGGAAAAAATATCGAGATATATATTGTATATCGCCATTTATCTTAAAATATCGAGATATTAATTTCGGTGCATATCGCCCAGCCGTACTGCTGAGGTTTAAACCTGTTTGTTTCTGGGTTGTAGGTGCAGTTCGGCTGGTTGGCAGCTCCTTGTCTGGCAGTGGACGGGTTGAGGTTTACCTGAACGGCCAGTGGGGTGCGGTGTGCAACTCCCACTGGACAGATCGAGATGCTAGCGTGATCTGCCGGCAGCTGGGTCTGGGGTAGGAAAGACAACATTTAACACAGAATTCTTTTGATTAAAATTTGTTTTTTAAATTTACTTTAATTGAGGCTTGTACTTCTATTTTTTTTATTTTTTAAATTATAAAAAAAAAAAAAAAAAATCTGCAGTGTTTATCAGTAAATTGAGTTTTTGTTGGGGATTTTTTTAAAATTTTATAACTATTTTAAAGTTGAGATTGTTAGCTTAGTTTTTGATGTATTTGTGTGGATTTGAGATGAGGAGCTTTAAAAAAAAAAGATGATAGAAGTCAGTTTAGAAACAGCAAATCCATTTTTACCATTTTTTTCTCGCTTTATTTAATTCCTGTCAGCATAATGATGACTATGTGCTGGAATTATAAAATAAATAAAAAAACAAGTTTAAAGTGAATTTTTGGCCAGACTACAAATGTTCTTTCTCTGTCCAACAAAGTTAAACTAGGTCCTCTGGACGACTACTTTTTTTTTTTTTGTTGTTGAAACATTTCGTCTTTCATCCAAAGGACTTCATCAGTCCGAGGAGTCGCAACAAACTCAGTCCCATAAGTAGCACACTCACATAGTGGACCAATCAGTTTTATGGTGATAAGATGGTTTCTGGAGTCCGCCCCTCTCCCCTGTCGACTCCTCTGAGACAGCCATAGACGAAGTGGTTCAAAACTTCAACGTTCATGCTCAATAATCCAGGTGTATCAGTCCGAGGAGCCACAACAAACTCAGCTGTTGACTGATGAAGTCCTTAGGATGAAGGATGAAACGTTTCAACAACAAAAGAAACCGTCCAGAGGACCTGACTGAACTTTGTTGGATATTTTACCTGGATAATTGAGCATGAACGTTGATGTTCTTTCTCTGTATTTTAGTAAATCGTTAATCTAAACGTTCACTCCACCTAGTGGCCTGGTGTGGTATTTCCGTGTTTTTGTTAGAATTAAAAAAGAAAATCATGAGTCTTTTCATTAAAAGAAAAAAAAAATCACAAGTCTTTTTTCATTAAAAAAAACCCAACAAAACAAAGTTTTAAAATATCCCAAATAATTCATAAGTCTTGTGTCTTGAGCCCAAAACCAGAGTTTTTGGTTGTTAGTTGAAAATGTTTTTAAAAAAATATGTTGTTGACAGGGATATCGGCACTGCGCTGCAGCACTCCCAGTTCGGCTCGGGCTCCGGCCTCTTCCACTACGAGCGACTGGGTTGCCGTGGAGAAGAGGACACCCTCAGTAGGTGCCGAAGCAGGACGTTCGTCACCGGTGACTGTAGCCATGGAAACGAGGCGGCAGTGGCGTGCGCACCGCCAGAAGGTCAGCGTGACTTTTATACTGTTACGGCAACCAGAGCTGAATATTTCCACCCACGGGGATGAGATGCAATCATCTTTGATGATTGTTTCTGTATGAAGCACATCACGCACTCCATCTTTGGCAACACGGTTGATTATCTCCCACCTTTTGGCTTTCAGCTGTGGGCAATAATGTTTCTCCCAACGATCTCAGTTTAAACCTCTGGCAACCTCCTCTAAGGATTCTAATTAACGCTGTATGTGTGTTCCTCCTCCTCTCCCAGGAAGCGGTCCTCCGCTGCGATTGGTTGGAGGCGAGGAGGACTTTGAAGGTCGGGTGGAGGTGTTTCACGCTGGACGGTGGGGCTCTGTTTGTGATGACCAATGGGACGACCGAGACGCAGAAGTGGTGTGCAGGCAGCTCGGTTTTGGGTACGTTGACGGCCTCACCCCCACGCCGAGTTAACATCTGGCAGTACAGGCGGCACAGAACCCATCAGAACCAGTTTGTTTGGATTCCATCTGAGCCTGGGTCGCCTTCTCCGTGTTCATGTTTCTCACAGCTCTGAGTGTCGAACAACAAACAAGTTGTAGCTGCAAAGTGAAAGAGTCCTGTGTTCAACAGCAGGTTACGTTGCATCCCTGAACACCAGCACCTGCGCTTGTCAATAATAAATAACCTGACAGGTTCTCGCACAGCTGCACACAGACAGACACTTGTGATGAAACAAAAACATGTTCCTCCCCCCAAAAGGTTTAGCTTATCTCCTTTGCAGTGTGTAAGTGTGTCAAACACTGACACACTTTTCCCATTTGCAACGTTTCCTAAACTTTCTGTGGCAAAAAGAGGAAGCTCTTAGAAAATAATGCACTGAAATCACCCAGTAAAACCATTTTATTACATAAATCATTTAACATAAAAAATTTAAATAATTAAATTTGCATGTCTGAATGTATGGAGGAACGTTCTCTTAGATGTCAAGGCGCGTAAAAAAATTGCTTTTCTATTATCTATGAAGGTACTCTTTGCAAAGTCCTGAAGATTGATTAAAAGAAAAGTCATAAAGAAAGAATTAAAACATTGATGTGTTCTTAAACGTGACCGGATGTGTTTGTTGGCTTGAAAGCCTGAATAAAAGGTAAACCATGACGACATTTATGAAAATAATTTTAGGAGTGAGGCCTGTGACAATTTTACAGCATTTCTATTAAATCTATGCTCGGATGTGTCGAGTAACGTATACAGACAAAAGTGCGTTGTTTACATTGAGTGCATACCTGCATTTTAGAACTGTACAGAACAATATAGCTGGAAAATATCAGAATCAGAATAAGCTTTATTATTATTGCACCAAAATGCAGTGAGATTATGTTCGTACAGTCGTCTGAAAGATGGGCGGAGTACACGCTGCTGCTCCTAAGAGCGCGGCCCTTATTCTTTTAGATAGAAAAGGGGAAAAGGCCATGAGGAAAGGATAGTGGTATTACAAAAAAGATCTCTTCACACCTTGTCCTTGTCAGAACATGATTTAAGACATCAAAAAACTCTACCAGCAAGCACATTACTAACATATTACATATGCATTTGATGACAAGATGGTGAGATTTGTCCATGAAGCACTTCCAGATAGACCATAGTCCTGATAAGATGTTGGTGTCAGCTGGTACAGCTCTGATAAGCATTCACAGAAGTTCTCGGGGGGGGGCGGCGATAGACAGAGCCTTCTAGTTTACACATATCCCAGGAGAAATTGGATAAGTCGGCCTGCTTCGAGTCCGAAAAGGGGAGTCAGATTCAGATAAGCCACAGTTATTGTTTTTTTTTCAGGCAGACTGTTATTTCTCGTCAGCCTTAAATCCTTTTGGTACTTTCAATGATCCAAAATGGCCAGATCTGTGGGCATTCCACTGGTCTGTGCTTAATAGCTCCCTCCAAGGTGATCCCCAACATGCCGGCGAGTCCCAGAAGCCGCAAGTTGTCTGTGATTCTCAAAAATCACTTCCAACTTGCAGTTTAGCTCGTAAATCAGCTGATTTTGAGTACTCGAAGCACAAACCTTCACACAAGGTTGACAGCTTTGCCATGTCCAAAACTGCTGCCGCCGTCTTCTCTAATAGCCGATAACATAGGTAACCGCTGGTGCCAAAAAGCAGAAACCCTGTTATCATGATTCTGATGATATTAACATCTTCAACGTCCTCCTGAGACAATACTGAAAGGCACATCAGCTTCCAACCCCCCACGGATCCATGACATACCCTGCCGCATGCGTCTCAGCGGGGCATGAGGTTCTCTCCAAGACCCTGTCGCTTGGTTGAAAAAGTTTTATCGATTGCGTTGAAAGTCCAGTTGACCAGATCCAAGACAGTAGTTTACGATTCAGAAAATGTGTAAATAGAAGCTCCAATACACAGAACAGAGAGCAAAACAGCAGGAGGAGGATGGGAGAGGGAAGAAAAGCCTCCGTCTTGCTCGAGAGCGAGTGATATAAAAACAGGACGGGACAATATTCATTAATTCATTCAACCTTTATTTAAACAGATAAATCACATTGAGCCTCGAAGACTCATTTACAAGTGAGACCTGTTTGGACAGACAAAAACAATGGTTAACTGGACACATGTAGGAAATGGAGGAGAAAAAAAATTCCTATCAGAATTTTTTTTTTCTTTCCCGAGAAAAAAACCCCCAACCTAATATTAAAAAAACACCTCGCACAAACAGCACATAGTGACGTAGACAATCTGCAGACGGAGGAGACGAGAGCAGTCAGCAATGTTTATAGATGCTCTCCAGGTCACTGTAAGAGTTCTGACATGATGTAATAATCAGTCAGTGTCCTCCGGTGAGATCCATAAACATTCTTGAGGTATGTCGAGGAATGGCCAAGAATAACGTCTGAGAATCCAAGAGTCCTGAAATGATGACACAAAGTTTATTCAGCTGGTTCATCTGGTGATCAGTTGGAAATTCCTCAGGGAGGGGGTGGTGAGCGTCAGATCACATGTTCTCCAGGCAAATTCAGGTAAGATGGCCTTCAAGGCCAGCCAGGGGAGCCAAATTCGGATAAACACACAGTTGTTTTGGGGACAGGCAGAACTTAATGACATCTACCTTCAGTCTGTGTTGGTCCATTCAGTTCCGAAATGTCCAAACTACAATGGCCACACCGATGGAATGTGACTGAGTAAAATCCCCAAGATCTGATCCATTCAGCCCAAAGCATTTGAGTCCAGGTACTCGAGACACGAACCAAGCCATCATAAAGGCAAGCAGCGTGATCGGGTCCAAATTTGCTGCCGACGACTTCCTTGATTGTAGATAAAACCAGCAACCAGCCGAATCCAAAAAAGCAGGAACCAGTTGTCGAAAATCCAATTAAATATGCGTCCTTAAAATCCACAGATGGCAGCAGAGATAGACACATCATCAAGTCTTCCTGTCGATGAGGCATCCAGCTGCGTGCGTGCCAACAGGGCAAATCGGCTCGTCTAAAGCCTGTCTTCTCTTCAAAAAAATGTTGTAAATTGAGTTGAGGGACCAACTGGTCAAAACAAGTCCATAATTATGGTTCAGAAGGAATGCAAGAGAGGCTCAGAAGCACTTTCACAGACAGACAGAGCAGCAAAGCAAAGCGGAGAGGGAGGGGAGAAGCAAACGACCTCGGCGAGAGCAAGTGGTGAATATGAGTAAATTCTGTCAAACTGCACCAACGGCAAAAGTGCAGGATACATTTTTACGTTTTATTTCATTGTTTTCAATGAGTACCTTTTTAAATTATAAATATTCATGTGTAAAAATGCTTTAAAAAGGCTCATTTATTACGGTTTATACTATACATACATATATATATGTGTGTGTATATATATGTATGTATGTATGTATGTATGTATGTATGGATGGATACTAAAGCAGTATTTCAGCTCAGAGCTACAAATGTCAAGTTTTTTATATTTTAACAATGATGTAAAATAAATTTTAAATATTAAATTGTACTGTGTTAGTATAAGTATTTTTTCCCTTTTAAAAGGACTCCAAAGTACAGAATATTTTATCTTTGGCAGCAGTAATATTTTTTTTTTCAGTACTTTGATGGTGTTTGAATCCTGATGTCTCAACAGCACAGAAACATCTGGATTCTGTTGGGTTCTGTGCCTTCAACAAATTACTTACAAGTTAAATTTAAACATGTTTAACATGTTTTAAACGAGCAGAAACACACGGAGACAGGAATGCCACGAAGCTTTTGCAGAATTTTGTCATTAATAAGTCACGACCGTGATTCTGCAGCGTCTTTCTAGTTATTTATTATTAACCGTTTGTGTGACGAGGATTTACTTATTTTAGTTTTTGAGTTAGATGAGAGCGGCAGCAGACCTGAGAAGCATTTAGATTTTTCAATTTTCTGTTTACAAAAGGAAAAAAACAGAGTTTAAATTACAGCACTGTGCAAAAGTCTTGAGCAACTATTGTTTTGTCTCGATGAAGGAAAACCTTCTCCGACGTTTTAAAGCAGTCCTAAGTGATGTTTGTCTGTTTTATTTTTTAGATCTTTGTTGCATTTTCCAACATTTTTAGTTCAGTCCTTGTATCTGATAACGTACAAGTCTTTTTTTTCCCTGTTAAACCATGGAATACTGATCTATGAATAATTCAAGCAAAGGTTGAGCCAGTGTTGTGGACACCTAACAGAAGTAAAAGACAATTTGAATTTGGATCTTTAGGCACTGACTTTGTTTCTGGTAGCTTGTCACAAAAATAAAATCTGTTCAAATTCCCTGCATTTATGAGAAATGAAAAATTCTGATTTCCAAAGACATATCAGCTGACCAGACTATACAGTTAATGTCAAGTGTAGGTTTTCACCTTTTTCTAAAGGAAGTCTCTTTAAAAATACAGTTTTGTCACATTTAATAGGATAAATGGACCAGAGAATGCAGACAAGCTTTGGACCTTAAAGGAAAACTAAACGATTTATTATTCCAAACAAAATAATTCTGTGGCATCCAAAACCACCAAATAAAACTTGAGGAAAGTTTGAACAGCTCATGAAGCTGCGCACAATGATCCACTGAAGATGATGGGAAAAAGCTGAGCTTAATGCAACACTGGGCAGGTGTGAGTGGGCGTGGCAGGACTGTGATGGAAGAAGTGTAATAAACAGGTAGAGAAATGAACAAACACAATGGAAACGCAACAAAACAAACTTCAAAAAAACACAAACCAAAAATCCTGTTTCCTCGTGAAACGTTTGACTTTTCTCCTTCAATCCTCCAGCTGGCATTCCTCTGGTTCATCCCTTGAGTTAGACGCTTGTTTTGAACAATCCCGTGCCAGGTGCTTTAAACAAACCAATGAACAAAAAGATTGAGTTTTAAACATGCGTGAGTCTGAATGTACACATTTAAGCAAACACACTTGAAAAGGGCAACTCGCCTCCAGTTTACTGTCTGTTTGACTCTTTAAGGGGACCAAAGCTAGGTTGTCATAAGGACGTCTCATTGGGGGGTAGGGGGTAGAATTAGGACTAAGGTGTGAATTGCGGATGGGTTAGGGTTGGGGTTAGGAATGTATAAGTAATGATTAGGTTTGGTAAGGATCAGGGTTAGGCTATAAAAAAATGAATGGAAGTTAAAGCAATGTTCCCCAAAGGTATGTTTACAAGAACGTGTGTGTGTGTGTGTGTTGCAGGGGAGAAGCAAAGGCGTGGTCTTGGGCCCACTTTGGACAGGGTTCAGGTCCCATCCTGCTGGATGCTGTAAAGTGCACCGGGAACGAGCTGTTCCTGGATCAGTGTCCCCACGGAGACTGGGAGCAGCACAACTGTGACCACATGGAGGACGCCGGGGTCTCCTGTAGTCCTTATACAGGTTATACCACACACACCATCCTCATCATCATCGCTGCATGAAGCAGCCTGTTCGAGTCGAGCAGGAACAGGATTTATTATGAGACTGAGAAACTGATCTGAAAACGTAAAGTTTGTAGCGGTTGTAAAGGTGGATTTATCCTCGTGGCTGCAGAGGACGCCGTCTCTGTTTCAGATGGCGTGGTGCGTCTGGTGGGCGGAGACAGTCCCTGGGAGGGTCGTGTGGAAGTGTTTCACAACAGAGACTGGGGGACGGTGTGTGATGACCACTGGACCCAGCAGCATGCAGAGGTGGTCTGCAGGCAGCTGGGCTACAGGTACAAACGCTAAAGATGCTGACGGTGTAGACGTTTTAATTTTTTTACTCTTTTAGTATCCAGAATTGACACAAACCCAACGAACATTAATGTCAGGACGTCTAAACTCCAGTCTTTTCATCTTCAGGGGTCACGCTGAGGTTGTGGCGGACGGGACGTTCGGTGAGGGCGTCGGTTTGATCCTCCTGGACGACGTCCGCTGCGAGGGGTCAGAGACGTCTCTGCTGGACTGTCGCCACGGGATCTGGGGGCGCACCAGCTGCTCCCACAGCGAGGACGTTGGCGTCCGCTGCCGAGGAAGACCCGGCCAGGAGACCAACGAGGTGCCCGCCATCGCGCCTTCCACAGGTAAGATGGGATTTCTCTTCGTCTACAACAAGTAAATCAAGAATAGAGAAGTTCTGAAGGTGCAGCCCAAACCCAACAGAACTTTGTGGTAATTAATATAAATACCCAAAATTTTCAGTACAAACTGTGTAAGGAGACGACCAAGATCAAAGAAAATGATAAAGCTTCTACCTGTGGCTCATTAAAGTCACCGTGGGAACCGCACACCTGTTTTCAATCACTGCTGCATTAATGAGAGGCAGACAAAACAATGCAGACTGAAAAGTCAGCCTCAAACAAACCGTCACTGTGCAAAAACTATAAGACGGATCTGAACCATTCTTAAACCGTGAGCAGCAGAAGACTCTGGTCATACGAGTTTTTGTGTGAAAAAAGTTTGTATAGAAGATATAAAAATTTAAATAAACCTTTTTATGTCCAGTTTTGAAGAGAACATTTTAAGCTAAAATAACTACATACCGTTGCCAAAAGTCATGGGACACAATTCCAGATTGAACAGCGTGATTTGGTGAATAATTTAAGGTTTTTTTTAACATGTTTTAAACTACGTATGTCAAACCCAAGAGCCGTGTGCCAAATCTAGTCACCCAACATGATAAATACATCATTTAGCATAGACTTCTCTCACCAGCTGGCTAATTTTGAAGCCAGAAAAAAGGCTGGATCATTCTATCATTGTTGAATCTGATGGGGAAAGAGCAACATAATGTCAAAAGAGACACATCAAACTATTAATCATGAGCCTGCAACCAAGAAAAAATATGGGGTATCTGACTCGTTAATGTTTCAGCTGAAAGAGGCTCATGGCTCAGACAAAGTTTTTTAAATGTGGCTCCTTTTGGCAGCTCAGTTTGACACCACTATAAACTGTTTCAGAGTAACTTTTGTTGACTCTGCACTTCAGGGATCCTGCTCCCACTTGTCAACATGCCCGGGTCATTAGAATGACAATAACTGTTGAATAAAGACACAACAGAGATGACATTTATCTGTCAGTGAACACATAGTTCTCTCCATCACAGTCCTTCTCGTCTTTTGAGAGGCTCAAGCATGAATATAAATGAGTTTTCTTCCTCCCAGGTCCCCTGGTGCGACTCGTGGGTGGCAGCAGCAGGATGGAAGGTCGAGTCGAGGTGTATCTCCATGGAGACTGGGGAAGTATCTGTGACTCGGGCTGGAGCGACCTGAACGCCGCCGTGGTGTGCAGACAGCTTGGACACAGGTCTGTGTTTGCATAGGACGGAGTTGAAATGTGAAAACTGGTTTCACTCGTTCTCTCACACGTCTCCTCCTCAGTGGCAGAGCGGAGGCGGCCGGAGGGTTCGGTCGGGGGAAGGGACCCATCCACCTGGACCAGGTGAGGTGCACGGGGAAGGAGGAGTTCCTGGGAGAGTGCCCCTCACTTGGACAGAACATCCAGGGCTGCAGACGCAGGGAGGACGCAGGAGTGAGGTGTGCCGTCACGCCACGGGAGTCGGCGTCGAAGACCGAGCCTCAGAATGTGAGCTGTGGGCTGAGAAAGCTGGTGGAGGAGGACGGGAAGAGGAGGGACCAGAGAGAGGACAACATGCTAAAGTACAGCAGCTAAAGCATCATAGTTCTGTTTGGTGCAGGTTCCACTGATGGTGCTCGAGTTCCCTCTAGTGGAAGTCAGAGCAATCTGTGAAATCGACTAAATTGTGTGAATGCTGATTCAGCATTTATTGCTTTCCTTTTCTCTCTGTGTTAATTTAAAAAAAAAAATTAAGCTACTTCTGCAGAGCGTTTTTAATTTTTTTAATTTTAGCTCATATGTTGAAACGTTCGGCTCGTTCGGAAAATGGTTTTGTTTCTTTGCAACTTTTATTTTTTAAATCTTCAGCAAACTAATCTTTTTTTGTCTAAATTGTAGCATTTAGCTACTATTCTGCTATTGTTAACTTTTAGCTACATTATTGATCAGCTTGACTTTTTCTACTTTTAGCCAGTGTTTAGCTTATTTTGATATTTAATTTGCATTTTCTTACTTTTAGATACTATAGCTTTTAGCTGACCTTCAGTTACTTTAGGTTTTTAGGTTTTAGCTAATCTTTAGCAGCTTTTAGTTTCTAGGTATAGTTGGTTTGTATTTTGATCATTTTTAGCTCCTACCTGTTTTGGCACTTGTGGGCTTTCAGTTAACTTTACGTTACTTGTAGCTTTGAGCTATTTTAACTAGCCTTTTGCTACTTTTAGCTTTTAACCATTTCTTTTAGAAAACATTTGCTATTTTTAGGTTTTAGCTATAGTTTTGCTGCTTATGTTTTAGCTCAACTTTTGCCATTTTACAGCTAGTTTTCTGATTATTTTAGCTTTTCCAACTCAGTTTCAGCTTTTTCAGCAAAATACTCTTGTTTTTGTGTGCAGAGAATGTTCTTTCTCTAGTTTTCCTTGAAGTACTTGGTGTTCTCAGAAGTCCAAGATGGTTTTTTTTTTTAAAAAGTGAAGGAAAAATAAAATCTTGTTCCAGTCTTTTCAGAGATTTTATAAAGTTGACCCAAAGCAACCAGACACACCCTGTTAGAAACATAAACATATATTTTATTTAAAACATAAATTATTTGTTTTCTCGCAGGACGTCGTGGCCATGGCAGGTGTCAGTGTGGCTGCAGACTCAGGAAGTGGTTGGTGGCCCCCTGTGCAGTGGCACCTTGCTCAGCCCCTGCTGGGTGCTGACGTCTGCTTCCTGTGTCAGCAGGTAAATCCAGACTTTACCTGTAAATCACTTCCTGGACGCAGGAGGCCGTCTTTTCTTTACCCTGATCCTTTTTGTCCCCGAGCTGCAGGTTTGGCAGCGACCCCTCCAGGTTCGTGGTCCGAGTAGGAGCATCGGAGCAGAGCCTCACTCCGCAGCAGGTGGTGCTTCACCACAAGTTCAAGGGTCAGAGCGGAGGCCATGATTTAGCCATGCTGAAGCTGCCCAGCACCAAGGGTCACTGTTTGACCTTTGAACCCAACACCAACTCAGCGTGCATCCCTGCTGCTGAAGCTGCAGTGAGAGAAAAGACTCCATCGTCGTGTGTCGTCATGGTTACCACCAGCTGGACAGGACCAGGTTTGTGTTTCTTTTCTTATTTCTTTAAACGGTATCCATGCGTTTTTCAACATTTTTTGCAGAAAAATTTAAGATTTGTGTATTTATTTATTTATGTGTGTGTGTGTATAACACATTTGTGATTGTTTAATTGACACTTTCTGTTCATCACCATTACTGAAACACATCACCTGAGTTTAACTTTGGCGCCCCCTTGTGGTTGAGATTTACATGAACTATGACAGGAGCTACTGAAATATTAACAGGGAAGGTTTAAACCGGTTTCAATCCAAGTAAAACTTTTTATTTATTCAAATTATTATAAATATTAGTTAAAATTATTTATTTACCTGCTAAAGTGTGATTCAAACACTTTGTGTTGAATCTGATTCAGCTTAAAAAAACTGCAGGGTTTATTTACAGATTTATTTAGACTACAGTATGTTTAATTAATGACTTAAAGGATCGATTCAGGATATAAAGTGTTGCCTTATTAAAAATAAAGATTTACCCTTCCTTGAATGAATGCACATCACTCGCTGCCTTTCATGCCAACGTTTTAAACTAAAAGGCAGAGAAATCAAGGGATCAACTTTTTGTGCAATATCTTAAAACGCCACGCTCAGAGTATGTGCTGCGGATGACTCTCAGCAACTACCACAACACGTTAGCTCAATATCTTTAAAACTGCCTGAACTATAGCTGAGGCAGCCATCTTAAATCAGACTGACCCTAAAACCTAATCAGTTTTTAAGGTACATATCATTTCTAAAGATTTCCTTAAGATAAGTCCAGTGTTTCAGGAGATATTTTGCTTACAGCCATGATGATTCTGATGCTACAGGTTTGGACAAAGGTCTTGTTTTGCCCTTGGAGTATGAAATGTGAACAACTCGGCTACAGCTGCTTTAAATTGTGCCACTACATACATAAAATCAACCAAATTACAGCCATTTTTTTTAATTTCTAAAGTTATCAGTCTTCTGCATCTTGAGATTATTTCCTGAAAGTTTGATTAAAATACACCCAGTGATATTTTGCTAACAGTTGGCTTGTAATGGTTAATGGCAAACTTTTAAACAAAGCTCTTTCGCTTTCTGTTAGTGCTCAGAGTCCAAGCTGGAGATCAGTCTCAGCTACTCCATCACATTTTAGCTCAATATTGACAGAGTTATAACCATTTCATTTTTATTTTTTAAACATTTGGTAGTGATTACTTTCTGCAGATTTCAGTCAAATCCCTCGTCTGGTTTGTGAGAGGCAGGAGACGACATCCATCCAGTAATGCTGACCTTTTGTTTCTCCTAGACTCTGTTATCGCCTCCTGGGTCCCTCTGATGTTGTCATGGCAATGCAAGAAGCGCTATGGCAACAGCTTCTCCAGTCACGGCACACTGTGCGCCGGCAGTCCTCCAGACACTAGCCTTCTCCATAGCGACGGTTGCCAAGGCAACTCTGGAGGCGGGCTGGTGTGCCAGGAGGAGGAGACCGGTCGATGGATCCTCACCGGGGTCGTCGCCGGGGGTTACGGCTGCTCCGACCCGTCCTCCCCTGCGCTGTACGTGCGGGTCGACCGCTTCAGGAGCTGGATCGACGAGGTCATGGGCGCGCACGGACATCCCAAGGAGGCGCAAAACCATCCGACTCACACAGACGGTGACCTTTCCCATCAAGAGGAGCACGTGCACGGCAAGCTCAAATACAAAGAAACCAGCGAGGTCAAACACACACACTTACACACTCCTCAGCAGCCTGGCATGAAAACGCACCACGCCGAGGGCGGCGACAAAAACAAACAAATGGTCTGACAGAGGCCACCGGTCGCCTCCTGCTCCATGTGACCGCCCGAGGAGAGGAAGGAGCGAATGAAACGATGCTTCAGCTTAACGTCTCGTTAAAACCCCAACTCAGCATCGTGAAGTGTTTCTCATCGTCAGACAGATTCTCTTTACCGTAACCGACCGGATGAAGACCGACGGGTCGTTCAGAGCGACAGCATGCTAACCGGGACCTTTTTACTGATAAAGATAAAAATAAAAAAATCAGCACGGCATGTATTTAAAAGGACTGTGGCCTTGGCCAAAAATGTCCGAGGGACATTTTAAAGACGCATCACACGTCAATCTATGCTAACTCCATTTACGCCTCCGCTGTGCGAGCTAAAGGCTAACCAGCAGAATGCGTCGTGTTTAATAATCCACGTAGATATTCTGCTGCAGCAGACGAGGCCCGTCTTTAAATTAGCTTCTTATTTTTTAATAACGTGCTTCTTTTCCAAACAGACATCTTCTTCAGGGTGGAGTCTCTTCCTTTACTGGTGAACGTGCTGTGGGTAGTTTAGCTCCATAACTCCGGACCATACCACTGATTCACCACATTTTATTCTCTCGTTAGCAGCTTTTATAAACCTCTAACACTACGGAGCCTTTTGCATTTGTTGCGGCGGCCATCTTGAACCATGTCGACTCCTAAAAGCTGTAGATGCACACTGATCGCTCTCTAAATCAACCTGGTTATGGCTCGACTCTTATGTCTCCAAATGAATATCTGCAGCAGGTAAGATTTATAAAAGCTAATGCGATATCTGCTCTGGATCGTTGTTAAATGTTCTAACACATGGAGAATCATTGGTATGGTCCTTGACATGTGTACAGAATAATCCTGTCTTTTTAAAGCCATTCGAAGCTGTCAGGTCCGACATGTTTTTGTAAAACTATAGGTAGATTGATCCCGTAGTTATTTGCTCAGATAGATGGATGGGTAGCTGCTTGTAGTGTTTTAGGTGAATTAAACCCGGTGAATGTGAATCCTCTGAGCGGATCCATTCAGAGGATGATGATGTTGCTCTCTCATCAGGACCGTTTCACCAGATGTTCCTTCTTTTTATACGGTTGCTGTAAGCGTATGGACTTGTGACGTACTGTGACTCATTGTGTTGTGAAGCATCTTGTTACCCGCTGCCGCCCGTCCCAAGCCGGCTGTTCTCGTCCTGTACATAGACTCCATGTTTTCTGCCCGGGCTCCTGTAAACACAGTTCGTCTCCAGGCTGCAGAGTAAAAACGCTCGTGTCGAAGCCATCAGATGTTCCTGTGCTGAATCATGGTTGAGTATTAAAGCATAAACCTGCTGAGAACTGTCGCTGTCATCTCTCATTTTATTTCTTCGTGTCTAAAACACATCTGGCTGCTGACATGAGCAAAGGTTAGCAGAAAAGTAATAAAGAACAAAAATCTTTTTGTTTTCCCTCGCAAGAACCGTGACAAAAAAGATTAGTTACAAAACTCTTGTTGTCTGCAAGTAATTGAGAAGTAAATCTTCTTAGCCGCTGCTTTCAGTCGCCCATGAGCCCCGATAATCACTTCTTTTGTTCTTTTCTGGAAACGGAGCAGAGGGCGCCCCTGTTGCTCAGCCTTTGCTGAAAACTGTAGAAAGCAGAAATAAAAAAAATACTCGAATTGTGTTGTGAACGACTCTCGGCTACTATCACAGCAAACTTTAGCTCAATATCTGCGAAATGGACGGGGTTTTATCCATTTTTGTGTATGCTAAGGTGGATTATCTGTGAAGGCCATGTTGAAGAGGATTGACTCAAAAAGTGAAACGGTTGTAAATATACATCCAACGATTACTCACAGGGAGTTTCACTAAATTCCATCCAGCTGTTAATGAGATATTTTGCTAACAGACAAATGAGGTTGACTCTAATCGTCAACGCTGAAGTTTCAAGCAAAATTCTTACATATTTTGTAGCACTTAGTTTGTAAATGACTCTCAGATAAAACCTCATCAAATTTCAGCCCAATATTTTTAAATTTCATCGAGCTGTGGCCGTTTTTGTGTTTTCAAAGGTGAGGTAGCTGCGGCAGCCATCTTGAATCAGGTTGACTCGAAACATAAATCAGATGGAGAGTTATCTAATAATTACTCTCTGTAAGTTTCGATAAAATTAGTCCAGGAGTTCGGTGGTTATTTCGCTAACAGACGGATGTAAGCAAAAGCATCTCCATTAACTGGCTGTAAATATTGACGCCCCATGTTAAAAATGACTTTACACATTTAACAGAGTCTGGGTATTGGTAATATAATCCAGATAATCTGTTTCGTATCAGAGGAAACGATACAAAAGGTCACAGATCTGTCAGATTCATGATCAGGGATTTACTTACTAAACAAAATGTGTCTAGAGCTGCAAAACTTGCCACAACGGTGATTATCAAGTGGTGGCTCATGGGCCACGTCAAATTTGTATGTTTTTAGCCAGTAAGGGTGACTTTATAAAACAAAAAAAATTATATAATGAATTTTAACATTTATTAATAATTTTACATTTTAGGGCTTAAAGGACCACATTCATGTAAACAGGAGGAAAAATATATATTTCATCCCAATTTTACCAAAAAACTTTAACTCTGACTTTTAATCTGAGTCTTCCTTTTAATGTTAGAAAAATAAAAATATGTTTGAATAAAGCATACATTTAAAGTGTCTGAAAATTTGACATTTTGTGGAATATATATAATTGTGACTTATAACTTATAACTTTTTTTTAAAATTTCCTTTAACTTTAAGTCTATCCATCAATCAGTTAATGGATTTTTCACCACATTTCTTCTGATGGTATTCCACAGAGCGTCTGGTGGCTTTGAGAGAAAGTTCCTGCTGTACGGCTGGATGCTGGATAAATGAGCTAAAGCTAATCAACATTATTTTCTTCTTGTTTTAGTAATTTATTTTAAACATTTGCAGAACAGCAGCTAAATTTTGCCATTTCTCTTTACGGTGGATATAAAACCCATTGAATTGAAAGGCCTGGAGAACCGCTCTGCCTGAGCTCAGTTATATGGATGTGCAAGAACAGAAGAAACGAGACTTGTGTTCTCTGTCTTCGAGAAGCAGAGTGACAAGTACACATCCACAAATAACGACGAGCCAGGAGGACGTCTCAGACCGTCTGCAGGTGTTCCCGGCTCTCCACCAGCGACTGAAAGAAGTCAATTAGAGCTCGTTAGTCTGATTAAGAAGAAGCAATCGAGATGAAAGCTGAGGGCGCCATTAAAGCTCTTGAGAAAAGAAATCGGCGCACTGCAGCAAAGACGTGAAGAGCTCTGACTCTCCTGAGATCACTCTCTCTCTGCAGCTTTCACATATGAACTGTGAGAGAAATCTACAGCAAGCCCTTTGTGTATTTATTCAGTATCCATCATGTGTGCCTTTTGTTTTTAACCTCTGCATTAGTAACATTTATCGTCAACTAGTCAGCAATTTTACTGCTCCAGTAGTCTAAACGTCCAACTAGTTGGTTTTTTTTAGACCACACTAGTCAGTGGTTGACATACTATCATGCTACTAGTCGACTTGTGACTAAATGTGCACACTAGTTGACTAGTTCACTAATTGACAAGCTGAAGCTTTTTTTTTTTTTGCCCTTACTAGTTAACTATTATGCTTGGGAAAAAAATGTCAACTCATCAACAAATGCACTTAAAATGTTGACTTACAGTTTTTAGTTGCACTTGTTAATAGTACAAACAAAAATGTGTCAACTGCTTGACTAGTGAGCTTTTCAGAGTTTAAAATATATATTTTTATGTTGTACTAATAGGCATACTTTGCATTGACTAGTTCACAAAAGGGCGGCACGGTGGCTCAGTTGGGAGAGCTGTTGCCTCTCAGCGATCAGGTCACCGGTTCAAATCCCGGTCCAGAGGCCTTTCTGGGTGGAGTTTGCATGTTCTCTCCGTGCATGCGTGGGTTTTCTCCGGGTGCTCCGGTTTCCTCCCACAGACCAAAAACATGTATGTTAGGCTGATTGGCAACTCTAAATTGTCCCTAGGTGAGAGAGTGAATGGTTGTTTGTCTTTATGTGTCCCTGTGATGGACTGGAGACATGTCCAGGGTGTCCCCCCCGCCTCTCACACAGTGACTGCTGGATATGGGCAGTGACCCTGTGACCCAATAAAGTAGTGGTTAAAGTTAATGGATGGATGGATGAAGTTTTTTTATTCTTACTAGTTAACTTGCACAACAAGATCATAGACTATGGTCCAGTGGTCCGTACGAGAGTTTAAAAGTTTACCAGTTGAGACTTTTGAGCTAGTAGAGCGACAGATTGCAGTATAATATAATTTCTCCTGGGTGAACGTGCTACTATGCGTTTGTTGAACCAGTGCAACCATTTGCGTAACTAGTAGAGGGTAGTTGCAACACTAGTGGGTAAAAAAAAAAAGACGTTTGATAAGGATATTGAATAAATACACAAAGGGCTTGCCATACTCTCTGAAAGTAAGCAGAAAATCAAGACTGATGAGAGCTCTTCATTCAGTCTGATGCAACAACAAGTTCTGGATTCATTGGTTGAATGAAGAAAGGCTCATCCTCAGGGAGTTTAACGTTTTCAGCTGCAGGTGGAAAAGAAGAAACGAGTGGCTGGAGTTGTTAAAGTGGCTGAAATGATTCCCAGTTATCAACCAATACAGCTAAACAATCAAGCTCACAGAGCGTTAGACAATAGTGCTTCACTCCTCTCCACTAAAATCAAACCTACGTGATGAATGAACTGGAAAAGAAACTAAAGCTGCTGTTAGTGGCTCATTACGGTCACCATGGTAACCACACACTCCCGTTTGTCACTCCCTGACTGCTGAGAATGAGAGGCAGACAGAAACAGACTGGAGTTAAAGCCTCAGTTGGACTGAACCGTGAGCGACAGAACACTGATGGTCACACATCTGGATTATATGTTTCTTCTGTGCCTTTTGTGGGAAACATAACTAATTTAAAAGACGCATAACTACCAGTTGTGATGATAATTCAAAATATAATTTAATCTGTGGAAGGCTGGGTGTGGACTCTTTGTATTCTGGGGAGGATTTAAAAGAAAATAAGTTAAACAGCAGTGAGAGAAACACTGGGTGAGTGAAGACAAAAGTCCCTACACTTTGATGTATAATTTGATCTAAAAGGGAGTTAAGAGTTCATCTCGAAGATTTGATATTTTTAGATGGCTCAAAAGTTAATGTTCAATGCTATGTTGAACATTCTGTGACAAAATCTCCAAAAATCACTAAACAAACTGATTCAACAATGTTCAGTCAGGTCATCTGGACGGTTTCTTTTCTACCGAGACATTTCGTCGTCCATCCACAGGACTTCAACATCAAAGGAACCTCATCGACTTCCTGTTTCATTCATGGAACTGTCAACAGACTCTTTTGAACACTCCTAAAGCAAGGACGCAGTAGGTTGCAATTCACCAACAAGGTACCCAAGTTGTAAATCACAAGTGGGGGAATGTAGCGTCCATCCATTCGTCAACAAAGACAAAGTCCTCAGAGACACTGCGTCTCCTAGCCCTCCCTTTCGGTTTTGATAGAGGAAGTTTCTTCTCTGTGTGCTAATCCCCAAGTCAAATCCACTGAACATCCTGAATAGCCTCTGTTCCGCCCTCTCCCCATCAACTCCTTTGAGGCAGCCATACCAAAGTGGTTCAAAACACCAAAGTTCATGCTCAATAATCCAGGTAAAATTCCAACAATGTTCAGTGAACTTTGGTGTTTTGAACCACTTTTGGCATGGCTGCCTCAGAGGAGTTGACAGGGGAGAGGGCGGGCCCCGGAGACAATCTTATCACAAGAAAACTGTTTTTTTTCCCCACTATGGGGGTGTATGGTTTGTGGGACTCTGTTTGTTGGTGGCTCCTCAGATTGAAGAAGTCCTTTGGATGAAGGACGAAACAGCTCAGCAAAAAAAAAGAAACCATCCAGATGACCTGATTAAACATTGTTGGATTTTACCTGGATTATTGAGCATAAATTTTGGTGTTAAACTGTGATTGTGTAAAATACATAATGTAAAAATATATCGTACATCGCCAGTTCAGTCATGTAAATCCCAATTTTCAGCGTCTCCATTTTAAACTTTGAATGTTTCTACCGTGAACAAATGTCTAAGTTTTAGAGTTCCAACGCACGCTGTAGCAGCTCATCTGACTCTCGTGAGAATTCTTCCTTGATTCCTCAACACGAGATCACTCTGGCAGCTCTCTGCTGCAGGTAAGATACTGACTACTCACACCACTCCTTTTCAAAAGAACCATATGCAACAATTATGTGCTAAAATATGC